CATACTTGTAAACTTTATTGCATAAATTGTTACTTTAGTTATTTCATTGATTAACAATAAATAACAAAATAATCCTTCTAATTAATTATTCTTTCTTTTCTTGAACCAAGTGTGTAAGTCAAATAGGTTCATATAATTAACAAGTATGTCACTAACATGTTTTGTTAGTAGGTATATCTCCAAGGGCATGTTCGACAAAAGTAGATGGAAGTTGGAAGTCGTAGTTTTTATTTGCATAAAAATGTTCGCCACAAACAGTTGAAAGCTTTTGAGATATTTGAATTTACATAAAAAAATGGCATATGGATATAAACTAAAATTGAAATATAATGATGATAAATTAAGTTTTCTTAACTATAATTATTAAAAGTTTAAAATCGTCCAAATTTTAATACCAAGTGCGTTATTTAAGCTTCTCAATTTGTAAAAACTTTATTTATTCATATTAGTAAATGTTTACAAATAAAGTAAATAAGACTTTTCAATTTTATAAGAACTCGTTACAAACACTTTTTATATATTATAAGTGTTTCGGCGTTCTAAGAAAAAAATATTATTATATGATATTAATTTTGGTTTATAAATTTATATAATAAATATTTATGATTTTGTTAGACGAAACTTAATAAATTATAAAAATCCGTTGATATGGTTTTTTCAAATAAACATACCATAATTGTTAAAATATATTTATATTTAATCGTATAAAATAACTTGCAAAAATATGGATATGATTTATTAATTTTAAAGGATATTTAAGTCAATTTGTTAAAATGTTAAAGAGTTTTTTGTGAAATGCTAGTATAAGTAGTTTTTTGATTTTTGAAGCTTTTGTTTAACACAAAAGAAAGTTCATGTTGAGTGAAACTTTTTTTTTTCAAGTTCTTTCTTAAAAATACAAACTCCCAAAAGCTACATGTCGAACACACTCCAACAATGTCTCGCCAATTTATCTGACATTTCAAAACAACATTGACTAGTCCAAAATGTGGAAGTTCCATGCAATGTGATCGTTTTTCATAACTAAGAAATTTGAGGTCAATATTTTTAACAAACTCATTCCTAATAGTTACTCGATATCCATTTAATTTAAAAAAAGAATTCACAATCCAAAGCTTTTATAAGCGGTTAGTTTTTAGTTTTTAGTTTTTATATTTTATATATTTTTATATATTTTTAAAATTTATGAATATTTGGGTTGAACACTTCTATTTAAATAAAAGTTTCACCTTAAGGCTAGTTATTGCATCTAAAATTGTAGAATGTAATATCTTAATTTGATGAAAAGTATGCAGGCCATATAATGGGCTTGGAGTTGAGACCATACCACCTAACCAGCCGTCCATAAACCATGACAGTCAAACCATGGAACCATATTAATTGGGCGGTTGACAGTTGTCAATTTCAACCAAAAGACTTTGATCGTTGAATTTCACCTTTAACCACAATATAACCCGTATTTCTTACTAGGATCGTAATTTTAAGTTAGATTTTTGGATCATGAAATTATTTTTTTTTAGTTAAATTTTTTGATTTTGGTTGCATTTAGTTTGATTTTAGAGTTTAAGGTGAAGTTGATTGTAGAACACAAAGTTGTTTTTACTTTTCATAACATAAATAAGTTAATTTATTTGATTAATTATTTAAGTTATTTCCAACAGTCAGTCTACTTTAATTAGTGTGTTTTAGATATAAATTGTCTACAATGTTTTGTTTATATGTTGTTGGGGGAATATTAGGGTGATGGAAACCGGATTCCTAATGAAACGTGTAAGGTCATTTTCCGAACTGATATTTACATCCTATATATGGTTTATAGGAAATTTATTATAGGATAATCCAAAAAGACACTTGTGTATCTAGGCACAGAAACACAAGTCAAATCCCCTGAAAGTGTTAAGTTTCGTTTTGAAGAAGAAGGGCTGAGAAGGATTCTATACGGCTCAAAAAAGTTGTACATATATCTGACAGATTAGTTAGGAGAATCTCGAATTTAATGGCTTAATCAATGGTTTTCAAAGCTGACAAGATTTTGTCAATCTTACCATAATCACCCACTATAATTTAATGGCTCTTCCCCTTGGACTCCACTAGGGGCGATGCTCGTAGGAATCTGCAAGAGGGGGCGCAGCCCCCTTGACCCCCGATATTCTATCGTACCGGCTTACAATTCGATTTTATACATGCATGCACTCCGCATTCACCGGACATATAATATAAAGTACAAATAATAAGTCTCTTAGCTCACATGTTAGTTCAAATTACCCAAAATGTCTGATAACACTAAAATCACCAACATATGTATTGTGAAATTCAACATACATATCTTTTACAAACAGGGCGGACGTATGATTTTACAGTAGGGGTTGCACGGGAAAGTCAGGGGTTGCACGATAGTAGAAAAAATAAAATTTTCGAAAATATTTCCACTGCGGTCGGAAAAGTCAGGGTTGCCGGTGCCACCATGGAACCCCCTAGGTCCGCCCCTCTTTACAAATGCATAAGTTTTAACCTCAACATGTCAATCTGTTGGATTGCTATTTTTATTACTTTATGCAACTTAAAAACAAAGGGACAAGCTAAAAGAAGATTCGGACAATATGGAGGCTTAGTATAAATTTTGGCATAAATACTCATAAAGGGCAATAATTGTTTGACATTATGGATGGGCAGCGGCCACATGATATGTTTAATGGACCAAAATTTTGTGAAAAGAATTGGTGGGAGAAAGATCTACCCATAATAATTCATTTTTTTTTTCTTATAATGCATCAGTACTATTAGGATGTGTTTTGTAAAAAGGAAATGGAATTGCACACAGAAATAGAAATTGAGATAGAGAGAATTAAGTTAGAAAAAAAAAATTGATTCTATTATTTAGTACAATCAATAATTTAAAAATTTTCTTCTTGTTTGTTTGTGGTAAGCCGTGATTTTTTTTATTATGTTTATCATTTTCAAACAACATTCTTTGACAATAATTCCTTTATGATTTAATATTTTTTTTTCTATTTCTCTATATCAAATAGGCCCTTATGGTTTCTAGAAGAAAGACATCTCACATTTTATGTTTATATATTAGAAACATCTAAATTATTGTTTATCGTTATTTATACTTGTATCAAGTCAACTAAATCAATAATCAATTTTTTTTTCTATTTCTATCATTAAAAAAAGGGAGAGTTTCATATATGCCCCTCTTAAACTTCAAAATATCATATTTGCCCAGCTTAATTTCTCAATATCACCCCTTCATAAACCTTCAAAATATCATATTTACCCAAATCCTTTTTTATAATGTTTTTAATATTTTATAATCATTTTTTATACCTTAGATTTATTATAATAATTCAAAATTTTAACCATATTATCCTTACATCTTTGATAATGAAATTTGAACTTCTAAATTGTTGGTATGTCGCCCTCTTGACAAACAAAAAGATTCATCTTCAACCCTCTCTATAGAATGTATATTTTGATTGTTTAGTTTTTGTTGTTGTTGATTATTATCATGTTGTCGATGGAGGATATTTTAAATATTACCATTGATATTTTGATGTTTAAAAAGTACATATATGATATTTTGATATTTAAGAAGGGCATATATGATATTTTGATGTTTAAAAAGGACATATATGATATTTTAAAATTTTATGAAGGGTAATATGATTTATAAATTTTATGAAGGGTAAATATGATATTTAGAAATTAAGTTGGGTAAATATGATATTTTGATGTTTAAGAAGGGTATATATGAAATTCTCCTTAAAAAAAACTGTACTATTTTAGATGTGAACACTATACAGAATTTTGCACTAGACTCCATTGCAAGAACAAAATAAATAGCAATTTTATCTTAGGAAGATAGTTTTTCTTTATTTTAATTGTTCACAAGTCAAAGATGTGTGGGGTAAAACAATTAATATGTAGATGGGTCTCACATTCAATATTATGTTGAACAGTTGCCTGATATTTCTATATCTTTGCTAATAAATTTCCCATTTATCCTTGATATTTTCCTGGTGTATATCAAACTTCAGTTAATAGTATATCTCTATACACATACACATATATACATGTGTCAGGCGAACATAGGAAGGTATTTATGAATGTATGCATATCATAAATAACTCATACTATAAAACAATATCTTGTAAATACATTTACAACTTCGATGCAATAATAATAATAATAATAATAATAATAATAATAATAATAATAACAATAACAAAGACTTTTTTTACGATGACATTAGAAATCTACTTTTTTATGTTTTGATTACAAACTAGAATGTGATCCGCGCTTTGCGTCGGTCCAATTTTTTTATGTTTATATATTTCGATGTTTCTTTGGTTTTTTTTCTCGGTTGTTGTTTCTATTTTGTATATGTATAATGTTTTGAGGAAAGTAGGGTCGTATAGTAGAATATCGAAGGTGGGGTACCAAAAGCACCAACTCCACAAACTAATGTAGCAAAAACTTGAGGTGTCACATTTGATAAATGTCATGGACCAAAAATGACAAACTCTTGAAACCTTTGTAGCTAACAGTAGAAAATACCGAAGTTGGGGTGTCAACTCCACAAACAAATGTGATAAAAAGCTAAAGAGTGACCAAAAGTGGCAAAGTCATGAAACTTTTGTGGCAAAACTTTGAACAATAGAAAATGTATTGTTTCTATTTTGCGTGTATAATGTTTTAAAGAAAATAGGGTCGTATAGTAAAATATCGAATGTGGGGGACCAAAAGCGCCAACTCCACAAACTAATTTAGCAAAAACTTGAGGTGTCACGTTTGGTAAATGTAATGGACAAAAAAGTGGCAAACCCTTAAAACTTTTGTGGCTAACAGTAAAGAGTTTTTGATTAATCAACTAATTATAAACTCTAAATACTATAGAAATAAGCAAATAAAAAAGAGCAATAACAAACCTAAATTATAACATCTTCCAGATTTTACATATATGAAAAAGTCTGTTATTTTGAGTTTACAAGTGTGTAAACCCGTGCACGTATGACTCTACTCAAATTAAGTCAAAATCTTAAATTTATACAAATGTAATCAAGTTAAGCTCAAGACAACAAACGAGAGATCATTTTGTTTGCAGATTCTTGGCCATGATTATTGACACTTGGGATGATATTTTCTGGAGATATAAACTTTACAAACTCTTTAAGTTCTGTAAAACTGCTATGCTCACTATATGGCACCTCATACCTACACCACAAAAACAAAATGAAAGATGTTATAATTTATAATAAACAAATAAATGAAAGTACACATTATATATATCACCTTATAATGGTACCCTGTTGAGACCTCTTTCCTGGGGTTGATTTTTTTCCTTTAGTAAAAGACCAACCAGTTGGAGAGAAAGCAACAATAAGACTATATCGACCCTGAATAATCAAATACTATTATATTATTAATTTAAGTGACATTACTGAATTAGGTTAAAGATTTTGAAGCAATCACCTTATACATGTTAGATGCGTGTTTTAATCTTTTAAAGCTTGCAAGTGTCCACATAGGCACAACATGAATGTGGCTTTCCCTTTCATCTAAAGTTAGCCATTGCATGTCTTCCTTAGACATTCCTAAGCATTCTAAAATTCTCATTTTTGCTGCAGTGACATATATTTTTTTACGAAGGACACGAGCTACTTCCATGAACACCCTTTCTTTTCCTGTATTTTTTTTTTTAATTTCAAAGACAAAAAAAATTAAAGAGAAAGAAATGAAATTAGGATGCTATAAAAATTTACCGATAGTATAGCTGCCAATTAGAAACAATGTTCTTGGATTAAAAGCTTCAGCTTGTATGGCTTCAAGAACATATTGAATTACAGCATCTTGCTTTGGAAAATCATACTGCCAAAAATTGTTTATAAATTTTAAAAACTTTATGATTTCATGACATGTGAGAGACATTATGTTTGTGTATACCTGAGGATCACAATAAGTGGTATCTAAGATAAGTGTTTGGACATGTCTCTGTAAACTAACAATCTTTGTCATATCTTCACAAAAACGAAAATCTCCTGTGTGTAGAATAGCCTATTATGCATAAAAAGTTTTAAAAAAACACCATGAACAAATTTAGAAATTGATAATAAGTAAAAGATAATAAAAGTCAACATGATACAGAGTTACACACCTTACCATTTGGAAGTTCAAATAGAATTATTACAGAACCTGGACAATGATTAGCATCAAAGCATGTGACATCAACTCCAGAAATGCATATCTTTTCATTGAGAGGTAAAACTTCAATATTCTCCCATGGAATCCCAAGCTTTAAATTTACAAGTTTTGCTGTAATTAAACTGCAGTAAATCTTCCCGTGGCAGAAAGATTTTGTAAGACCTCCATAATCTGAAAAGACGTAAATGCCCTTTTTACCCTCATCATCAAAAATAGTGTTCACAATGTTTTTTATTGAAAAAAATGATATGTTAAAGTAGAATTTTAACACTTACGATCTGCATGGAAGTGTGTAAGGAACCAGTGAAAGCAATCCCTTCTCAGATATTTAAATGCATCCTAATAGAATACAAGGAAGTTAGTAATCTAAAGATTGCATCATTTACCTTAATCTATGAGAGTATTAATGTGATAGAAAAACATTTTGGTTATAAAGAAAAGTCACATTTTGATAAATAACAATAAGAGAGCATAAGCATACCACACGGAAGGGTGTTGGTGTTCCTGTTATTGAACACCATGGGGGTATATCTCGGGTCTTTCTATTTAAGACATTCTTTTTCACAATATTACGTTTATTGCCATCATTTGAATTGGGTTTCACCACTTGTGTTTTCACTTTGGGAGTGAAACCAGGAAAAAAATCTGTAATCTTCTTATTTGTGGCTATTTTAGTGGTCTCTGTGTGTGTATTCACCACTTTTTTGAGGTGTATTCACTGCTGTTTCAGAACCTTCTGTTCTTAGTTCATTAAGAGCATGAACAATCTTCTTCCTGGGACCAAGAGCAGTAATACCTATATTGTATAGATCCTGCAACAAACAATATAGACTGAAGCTTAATGATGGAACTGGATGAGGGCAAAATGGTAAAATGTTAGGAAGCATACTTCATCTGTCAGCCATCTCAGACTTTCCAAATCAATTTCTTCACGGATGAAAACTTCTTCATACCGAGATAGGCCAAGATTGTGCAGCCATTCAGAAACAGGAGAGATTTGACGGATTTGCCCTTCAGCTTCAAGAGAAGGATCATCAAGAACTTGTCCAGAAGCTCTACAAGGGGAATCATCAAGAACTTGTCCAGGACATTCGGTTACATTGTCAGTATTAGGAGCATCTACCTACAAAGTAGTATGCAAAACAGTTCACAGATGAATCACACACTTGATACAATTAATCAGAAACAATGGATGAGGAAGAAGGTCTTACATGGTTATGAACCTGCTCTTTATCAAGGCACTCATTGGTATGAACATGTCTCAGCTCCTCACTCATGTCAGAAATGTCAATTCCACACAGGGGGGCAGCTAATAAAACCAACAACATCCATGTTATTGTTATCACCATTGTCCATAGGCATATCCTCATCTTCAGATGCACAACATAAATCAAGCAATACATCAAGCTGTGTAGTTCCAGCCTCCTGATTGTCATCAAATCTTTCCTCTTCGTCTTCGTCTACCTTCTCATTAGCATTTTCACAAACACTTAATCCACAATCACCCCTAGACCTCGACAATAACCTAGACTCGATTGAATTCGATAAGTAACTAAACCCCTCTTTTGGTTTTGTTTCTTTCTCATCATTCGTAAATGAAACACCATTGTCTAATACATTGCTGCAGAATACAGTCGACTCCATAGATTCTAGAGACACAATTGAATCCAAACCTAAATCAGGTGGAAGTTCGAGATTTTCCTTACCGGGATAAGCATGAATCTTTTTAGGCTTCTTGGGTTGTCGATTGCTGGCGGCATTGGAGGATTTGACTAGCTGTGATGAGCTAGGTTTTCTTTGGGTGAGTGGGAACGATTGAGTTGGGGTCTGAAAATCGTCGTCATCGTCGTTGATATGAGAAAAACTAAAAGTGGATTGTGAATATAGGGGGGTTTTCACCTTCTTCGATTTTGACATGAGCGTAGTTTGAAAAAGAAGAGCTTGAACGATTCGAAAAGACGGCTTCTTGATCCTGTGGTGTTTCAGGTGAGGAAAGACGATTTGGGGTTTTCAAATTTATGACAACTAGTCAAATGGAGGGAAGTGTCCGGATAAGGTAATCGATTTTTAATTTTTTATTGTTTAAAGACAAAGGCTGCTGTGGTAAAAAAATTCGTGATACCACTAGATTTCTTCCTCAACAATCAATTATTTGCCTATGAATTTATGTATTGAGGTATCGTGTCATCCATAAAGAGAATAGGAAAAAGAGGGTAAAGAAGATAGAGAGCAGCGAGAGGAAGAGTCTCAATACGGACAATGGAAACATACCGTCGGTAACAAGGAGGAAGCGACGCAGTGTTCACCGCCTGTAAGGGGTGCACGTCTGATTACCGCCGGTAAAAATGTTACGGCATCCCACAGCCTAAACTGAAAAACTATTTATTTTATTGGGTTATTGTCACTGTAACCAACAAGATTATGTATAATGGTTTAAATGGTCCCTCGTGACTATTTTTTGCATTTTAAGGGCATAAACTTGTAATTTCTGGTTTTAAAAGGACACTTTTGGAAAAATGAAGGGGTCACCCGGTACCCTCATCCTACGTAGCAATTTTCTATTTCCACCTAATATCCAAATAGTTTAATTTAGTCCACGTCATTGCCACGTGTATATAGGAGTTAATGAGAGATATTATACGTTTAAACCCCTCAACTGTCTCTTTCGAACACTTTCTTCTTAAATTCCTCATCGAAATTTGTTGTTCAATTGTTCTTCGGTCCTATCCTTTTCTTCAAGTGTTCGTCACTCAAATCGGTGAACTTTGTCGTTGCTATGGCCGTTTTCATGAAGATTGATCTACATTTTGCTGGGATTTTTACCACGTACCCCTCTATTACTTACTCAGATGGAGTAGAGCAAAGGTTTGATGTTGATTTTGCTGGAATGGACAAGAAGGAATTTGTCGAGTTCCTTGAAAGATTCTCATTTGAGATATGTGTGAATGTGTAATTTTGCATGCCCGATATTGATTTTCCTGATGGATTAAGGTTAATCGCGACCGACATGGATTACATGGAACTAATCGAAGTAGGATATGGTTCTGATTGTGTAGTTGATGTATATATGGACCATCTTGGTGTTAATGTACATCAATGGATTCTTGAAGAGCAAGCAGAAGTTTACAGTTCTTTAGACCAATTATCTGGTGCAAATGAAGATCATGAAGAAATGCACAGTCGTATGGATATGGATGATAGAATCGACATGCAAGATTTACATGGTGGTAGGGATGATATCCTAGGTGCAAGGGAGGATTTGCAAGGTGAGCAAGATGATGGCATTCACATGGAAATGGACACTAAACCTGATGAGTGCATTCCTATGAACAAGACAAATGATGATGAGTTTCTGAGTAAGTTGTACCCAAAGGAGCAAGTTACCCCCTACAGTCCACCTCGTGAAGATACATATGATCCACCACAAGAAGATGAGGTAATATCTACTGACCAGGCTATTTACAATGAGAATGTTCATTGGAAAAAGCAGAAACTTGTATTAGGTATGAGATTTGTGAGTCCTAAACAACTGAAACATATGATGTTTAACTATGCTATAGCAAATGGTTATCAATTATGTTACAAAAAAATGATAGTAGGAGACTATTAGTGAAATGTTGTTCTGGGCAGTGCATGTTTAGGATGTGGGCTTATTGGATGAGTGAGGAAAAGTCTTTCTAGATTAAGAGTCTCATAAATGAGCATAATTGTCCAAGAAACTTCAAGTTAGGTTCAATTGTTAATTATTCATGGATGGGTACCCATTACAGAACACAATTCTTACAAAAACAAAAGGTTAGTGTCAGTGTAACATCCCGTTAGATTAATTAAATAATAAATCAGGAACCCCGGGAAGTAATTATTATTATTATTTTATATTATTAGAGCTCAAAATTTAATAATAATTTGGTTTCGGGAAGCCAAATGACAAGAATTGAATCTCCCGGGGGTCAAAGTGTAATTTTAGGACTTAATTTATAAAGATCTTCATAAGTCAAGGGGTGTTTGGTATTATATGGACTTTATTTGAGAATAATTTGTAAAGGAGGGGTTGAATGGTAACTGTGGGACTAAATATGAAAGGAATTATGTGAGCAAGGGTAGGAAGTGTAAATTATGGACCTTCTGTGAAAAGAATCCTATGGGGAGGGACCATTTATGACATTATGGAATGAAGTTTGAGTGGGTGTCGGGTATTTATGCAATGCGAACCCTAACCCTAGTGACCATGTTACAGCCGCCTCCCACCCTTATACCTCCCTTCCGGCGCCGCTACCTTCCTCCATCGAGTCGCACACCACCACGGTTGGAGCCCCCAAACCACCGAAGCAACCACCTCTCGCTCACCCTAACGCAGGGGAAATGAAGTTGCAATTGATGCTGCCACCATTCATGGTTCGACTGCCTTCCAGACTTCGCCGCCACCCTTTCCCATTGATACCAACGGAGCTTGCTACTGCTTCTCTACTGCCACGTGAGTCGGCAGGGAATACCGGAGGGCGAGGGGTTGCTTATAACGTTGACATGTCGACCGTGGAAGCCCTCGTCCGCCAGCCATTATTCCGTCATCGTAGCAAGACCACCACTGCCGGGAACATAGCGACTTCAGAGGCCCACCGAAGGTTGGAGACGGAGCAAAGAGTGAAGGAGTGGGCTGTGAACCACCGGGGTTGCTGCTGTCGTGCGCCGAACTCGTGAAGATGCGGTTGCTGGTGATGCAGCCATTTTCAGCCGTTGTTGTACCGCCGTCAACCACCGTTAGCTGCCTTCTTGTGTCGTTACCACCGCCGTACGCCACCAGGTGGGTGGTTGGGCTTATTTAGCAAACAAAAGACTTGTGTATGTGTGTGTTCATTTTAGTGAGGCGGGATGGGGTGTTTATTTGGCCGGAAAAGCCACCACCACCACCGTGAGGTGGTGGCTGGCACCATGAACCACCATCGGCCACCACAAGGGTGACTGTGTGTGTGTGTTTACTTAGTGTGTGTGTGTGTGTTTGAGATTGCATTGTAAAGTTGTAATAGTGTAGGAATAATGAAAAAGAAAAGTCTAAACCACCACCGTGAGGTTGTGGGTGCCGCCACCGGCCGCCGTGTCGGGTGGCGGTGTGCCTCGTTTGCATTTTTGGACTCGTTTGGGGATGTTTGGACAAAGTGGGCCCAAAGAAACCCTAGTAGGCCCAAAGAGACCCTAATGGGCCCAATAAGGCCCAAAGTGACCTAAAGGCCCAATCAATGGACTAATGGGCTAGTATTGGGTTGGTAAACCCTAATTAGGGTTTGGAAAACCCTAAGAGCATAAAACCCTAATTGTGGGAATTGTTTGGGACGCACACGAGAATTAATTATTAAACTTAAAATAATAATTAATAATCATTGGCAAACTAGCTTAAGGCAATAATGGACTTAATGGATTAAGTCCTTAATGGGTTAAGTAAGAAACACTTAACCCTAATCATCATTTCATGTGAAAGCCCTAATCTCACTCGGGCCTTGAATTGGGCCTTCCTATTGGGCTTTGATGATTGGACTATTGGTGGGCTATCCAAGATCAAGTTAATGGACCAAAGTAATTATATGGGCTTTAGGATAAGGCCCATGTGAGGACTTGGGCCCAATTTGGAAAATTAGGCCATAGATGGGCCATAATTAGGCCTTTATGATTATATGATATTGGGCCATGGTGATTGGATTGGAATAATTGGATGGGCCTTAAGGAAAGACCATGTAGAGGTCTGGGCCCAATTTGGAAAGTTGGGCCATATGTTGGGCTTTGGCCCATTACTGACTTTTGGGTTCTTGTAGTGTGAGTTGGACCTTGGGCTTGGAACCCAATTATTAATTGGGTATTGTTTGATGTTGACAGTTTGGGGAATCTGTCAACCAGCAGCTGTAGTTATATCTGCGGGACTTCTGCGGTGTCAGGTGAGTTACCTCACTATACTAAGGGGTCTAAGGCACCAAGGCCGGCCCATTGAATATGTTATCCTAGCAGTGTTAGTATGTTGAGTATGAAGTTAATGTTGCATGCTAGTGGTTATGCCAGTTAGGTAGATCTGTAGGACTACCTGTGTTGTTATATGATTATATGCATGCTCAGTGGTTATGCCAGTTAGGTAGATCTGTAGGACTACCTGTGTTGTTATATGATTATCTGCATGCTCAGTGGTTATGCCAGTTAGGTAGATCTGTAGGACTACCTGTGTTGTTATATGATTATCTGCATGCTCAGTGGTTATTCCAGTTAGGTAGATCTATAGGACTACCTGTGTTGTTATATGATCATCTGCATGCTCAGTGGTTATGCCAGTTAGGTAGATCTGTAGGACTACATGTGTTGTTATATGATTATCTGCATGCTCAGTGGTTGTGTTATATGTTGATATGTTATGTGGGATGGGTTGAGGTTGTACTGCTCTGTGCGGTAGCCAACAAACCCTAGGAGCAATCCAGTTACGGGCTAAGGGAGACTCGTACTGTGGGCTCGGTGGCAATCCAGATGTGAGTTGTGGCCCGGTAGGCAATCCAGTCTCACACCGTGGGCCCAGGGGTAATACAGTTTGTAAAGTTGTGGACCCGTTACATGATGTTCAGTTTGTTATATTACGATGTTGTTGACATGGTTATGTGGACTGTATGTGTATCGGTATTTTGGGGGAACTCACTAAGCTTTCGGGCTTACAGTTTCAGTTTATTGTTTCAGGTACATCAGGGAATTGTGGCAAGGAAAAGGCGTGATCGTACAACTCCTCACTTTTTATGACTATGTTTCTGGGATACTCTGATATAGAATTGTTTTGAAAACAAGTTGGTAGTAACTGTTGGTTCCTAAATATTTTAAAATTTTAAAATTTGGCCTGATTTTTTAGGGGTGTTACAAGTTGGTATCAGAGCCTTGATTTGAGTGAATTGGAGGAACATTCGTGTGAATCCAGTCTCAAATCAAGGAAAGATTTTCAAAATGGTATTTAAATGGTTTTCAAAATAAATAAAGGAGGATGCAGGGTGTACGATCAGCCG